TTAGATGATGTTTTAATAGAAATTATTTTAGGTTGTAAAAGTAAATTTATAGTATAATACTTACCAACTGGTTATTATAAAGAAATAAAAAATAAAATTATTTGATTAGATGATGTTTTAATAGAAATTATTTGTGTTGTAAAAGTAAATTTATAATATAATACTTACGAACTGGTTATTATAAACAAATAAAAAATAAATTTATTTAATTAGATGATGTTTTAATATAGTTTATTTTGTGTTGTAAAATTTAATTTATGATATAATACTTACATGCTGTTACTATAAAGAAATAAAAAATAAAATTATTTGATTAGATGATGTTTTAATAGAAATTATTTTGTGTTGTAAAAATAATTTATAATATACAGTAATACTTACTCTCTAGTTATTATAAAAAAGTAAAATAAATTTATTTAATTAGATGATGTTTTAATAAAGTTTATTTTGTGTTATAAGAGTTAATTTATAATATAATAATTACCCTCTGGTTATTATAAAAAAGTAAAAAATTGAATTTATTTAGATAATGTTTTAAATAAAATTAATTTGTGTAAAAAAGTAAATTAATAATATGATACTTACCCTCTGGTTATTATATAAAAGTAAAAATTTAATTGATTGCCTTAATAGAAATTATTAGTATTGCAAAATAAAATCACAATATAATAAATAATACTTACCCTCTGGTTATTATAAAAAGTAAAATTTAATTTATTTAATTAGATGTTTTAATAGAAATTATTTTGTGTAAAAATAATAATATAATACTCACTCTCTGGTTATTATAAAAAGTAAAATTAAATTCATTTAATTAAATAATATTTCGATAGAAATTATTTTGTAAATTTATAATATAATAATACAATGCCTACCCTCTGGTTATTATAAAAAAGTAAATTTGAATTGATTTAATTAGATGATGTTTTAATAAAAATTATTTTGTGTAAAATAATAATATAATACTCACCCTCTGGTTATTATAAAAGTAAAAATTGAATTAATGATATCTTAGTAGAAATCATTTTTGTATTGTAAAGATAAATTAATAATATAACACTTACCAACTGATTATTATAAAGAAATAAAATTAAATAGATTTGATTAGATGATATTTAATAGAAATTATCGTGTTATAAAAGTAAATTAATAGTATAAGAAAGCAAGTTTAATTAGATGATGTTTTAATAGAAATTATTTTATGTTGTAAAAATAAATTAATAATATAATACTCACTCTCTGATTAGTTATTATAAAAAGCAAAAAATAAATTCATTTAATTAGATGATGTTTTAATAAAAATTATTTTGTAAATTTATAATTTAATAATACAATGTCTACCCTCTGGTTATTATAAAAAAAAATTTATTTAATTAGATGATGTAAAAATTGAATTAATGATATCTTAGTAGAAATCATTTTTGTATTGTAAAGATAAATTAATAAATAATACAACACTTACCAACTGATTATTATAAAGAAATAAAATTAAATTGATTTGATTAGATGATATTTAATAGAAATTATTGTGTTATAAAAGTAAATTAATAGTATAAGAAAGCAAGTTTAATTAGGTGATGTTTAACAGAAATTATTTTGTGTTGTAAAAGTTAATTTATAGTATAATACTTACATGCTGTTATTATAAAAAAAAATTTATTTAATTAGATGATGCTTTGATAAAGTTTATTTTGTGTTGTAAAAGTTAATTTATAATATAATACTTACATGCTGTTATTATAAAAAATAAATTTATTTGATTAGATGATGT